TGGTAGGTTTTCCGTGCCACTCCGCTCGGACCGCCGGCTTCTTGCTACTGGGCTGTCTCCCTCCGGAACTGTTTCCCCCCCCCTCCCGTCTATGTCGACCCCTTAGTTCCTTAGTTGACCCGAGTATAAGCCGAGGGGGGCATTTTTCAGCCCCAAAAATGGGCTGAAAACCTCGGCTTATACTCGAGTATATACGGTAGTCGTTACTAGACTAGCATTGATTTTATGTACTTTTTTCTTTATATAGTGATGAACTTCAGCCTAAGAAATAACTTTTCAAAAGTACAGTAACTAATTCAAACACTTTACCTGTGATCCAAGCAGGTTTGGAGAGGGTGCAGTGGTCTGCTGCTGTAGCTGCTGCTGCTGCTGCTGCTGTAGAGGCTGTGATGTTTGTATTTTATTTTCTGTCTGTGCCAATGGCTGTATTTGAAACTTACTATCAGTCTGTTCCTGCTTTACCATTAAATTTTTTCGGAGTTGTTCAACTACTCTTTTCTAGCAAGAGAATAAAAATAAAAATAGTATCATATACTTTTTTCATTACAGTAAAAATACATTGCAAGATTTTTTTCAAAAACAAATAGAAACAATGTAACTGGTTATAAGATGAACTTTGTTTTAAGGTTCTATATTAAAAAGTCAGTTTTGTATTAATATTAACAAAATATGAATTTTGTTATTAATAATGAGTTTTAAGTTCTAGTTCATTTTAATTACTATTACATATGTGTATGTGTGTTTATATTTGATTGCATTACCATTGTTTATTTTTGTTGCTGTTTGTTAAAACTCACTATAAGCTATAAAATATTTGATTAAATAAATTTCATACTAAATAAAAATAAAATAAGGAAAGCCAACTGCTAACACTGTCAAACCAGCAAATTTAAGCAAGGATAACATATCACTAAAAGCAGAAGTTGTGGGCAATTAAATGAAGACACCCCTCCCCCAGGAACTATTGCTCTTTCACAGCTCAGACAAAAGTGTGCAGCAAAATGAGGGCACTCATCATTCAAATCTTTCACAAACTTTTATAACAAATCAGTAAAGTATTATAAGCAACAACAGTCCTGGGTTATAATATCTAATTCCTGCATATGGGAGTTTTATGTATTGCTAATATAACAGAATGTTCTTCCCCAGTTTGGGTGATCTCCAATCCTATAATCCAAACTGTTCATGATGTTCCTGATCTTTATTCCACCAAGCCTTTTCCACATGCATAGGAGTAGTGCATGTTTTAAACTGCATCACATTTTCTGGTGTTCAATTATTTCTGTCCTTTTTAAGCTTGAAGAATATAAAAATATATGCCATTAAAATTCCCCCCGATTTTGTTAACCCCTTGCCCATACATGCCTATGTAGGTCATTTGTGGCATTCTGATAGAAATTATAGTTCTATGATTCATTTCACAAAAACATTATTTTTATCAGATGGTAATACTTTGTTTAATTACTGTATCTTACAGTAATTCTTATAAGCCAATAGATATGTGGTAATTTTTAGAGCCTGTCATTTATTTTTATCGAATCAGGTTCTAAATGTATTTGCCCAGAGATCAAGACAATGAGATTCCATATTCTTTATTTAGGCATTCAAATACTGATGTATTATTTACTGTTTCTTTCAGAAGTACAAAATGATGTGTCAGCAAGTATAGGCAGGAACAGAAGGATCATTTGCAGGAAGCAGAACACCATAAGGAAAAATAACAGAACGGAAGCCAATTATACCTGCCAAACTATTACTCTAATTATTCACAGCAGAAGAATATATGCTATTTTATCCGGCTAGAGAACAGTATTCAAGAGATGGTAGGCCTGAACATTCCCAAGCTAGATTGCAATAAAAATATTAAATCAATCAGAAGAGAAATTAGGAAGAACAAAAGTCAAGTATGCTGTTTCAGTTTTACAATTCTTTCTGGTCTTCTTCCTCAAGAAACTTGTGGATAAAAATAGGAATGAAATTTCTGTAAGCTTTCAATTTTTTAAAAAGAAGGCTTTACCTACAATGTGTGAGAAAAAAGAAGTTGCTCTGCATTGCTCTTTTTGTCTTCTGTGGAAGATAAAAAAAAACTTTGGCAAAATACACTTTCTACTGCCTTCCATTTATGAAAGACCAGATATACAAAGGCAAAAGTTGATCTTTTTTAATTACTTCATAAAATTAATGTAATCAGGCAACAAGTCT